TCCTGACACTTAGAACAATTAATCAGTGGAACAGCTTGCCTCCAGAAGTTGTGAATGCCCCAACACTGGAAGTCTTTAAGAAGATGTTGGATAGCCATTTGTTTCCTGCCTAGGCAGGGGTTGGACTACAAGACCTCCAAGTTCCCTGCCAACTCTGCTATTGTATTGTAAATGGTAAACAAAAGGGATGAGAGCATCAAGACTTGTTGCACCCTACAAGTGAGAGGCTAAAGACACAATCTCGCCTCCTGTTAACTCCATTTGAAATCCAGCACAAGGAAAGAATCATCACAAAATAGTTCCTCAATACTGATCAACAGTATAGAAAGCCACTGAGAAATTAAGGAGTATAAAAATGGACATCATATCCTCATCTTGGCTCTGGTCCAGGTCATTCACAAGCACAACCATTTCCTGTCTCCACTTGGTCTGAAATCTGAGTAACATGGTTCAGATAATGAATTACTTCCAAGATCTTCTGCAACTGAAGCCCAACTAAAAAGGTTGGAGAGCAAAAAGAAATTCTCCAAAATCATTGGGTCTAGCAATCAATCACTTGGAAGGGTCACACTATAGCCTGTTTGATAATGCCATCCTTTAAAGAAGTAGATGTCACCACATAGACCCAGAGCAGGACCTGGATCTTATAACAGGTGGCTGAGCTCACAATCCTGAAGTGCCTTCTGCTTTCTCAAGTTTTTTCAAAGTTATACAAGTTTACAGATAAACACATCAGACTCTGTCCTAGTCATGTTCACTGTATCTGTACAGTTGGTGTCTTCTCTGGAATATATTGCACCATATTCTGTGTCAAATTATACATCCTGCTGGTCAAGTATATAAGGCAAAATTAGAAGTATTCTATTCTTTAAATATTCTAAAACTACATATTGGATCAGCTAAATTCCAAAATTTATTGTCTTTCTTTTTATAGTCTGAAGATTACTATGATGTGAGACGACAGTATACATTTTTAGGCTCGTGTCTCTTCTATAAGGTAAGCTTTTGCAAACTTTTCTGCTTTCTGGTAAATTTATTATATTCAAACAAAAAAGCCAAATTTAATATATAAAATGTTAATCGAGGAAAAAAAGATTTTTAAGTCACAATAACTATAATAACACATAGGTGGGTTTGGGTGTCTTATTCTATGTATCTACTGTCAAACCTATTGCCTTTCTGAGATTTCTCTATAGAATAATAGTTTTTAATTTGTCAACTCAATTTATCTGAAGATTATAGGCAGTTATACATTAGGATCAAATTTACCATTCTCAGTAAAAATGACAGCACTTAATTTAAATTTGTTATGACTCAATTGGTTTGGACTGAGTTTTGTGACAATATGTAGTACTTGGATTTTTTTTTAAAAAAGAACTAATGTAAATTTACAACGTAAGAAGTTCTAAAAACAAACTACTGCATGGCTGTATAATAATGTATTGTCTGTGTTTTTATTTTAGGGATATTTAATTAGTAGTCACTTGCCAAAGGAGGATCTTATTGATATTTCATTATACAGCAGACATTATTGCCTTTTGCCCTTAGCAGCAGAACAGCGAATTGGTCAGTTAGTAATATGGCGAGAAGTATTTCCACAACATCATATTCAGGGTTCTCCAACTTCATATGAAGGATTCCAAGAACCCCTAGCAAGATACTTCTTACTCATTGTTGGCTTGGTAGGTTTTTATAGCATGAACATTGCTTCTCTGGTCTTTGCTATTCCTAATTGATGCAATGCATCTTATAGTGAGAATATGAAAAATTTCTATCTATATAACCCTATGCCAAACTTTCAAGTGTCTACGTAATGCCGTGCAAAATATTTCAAAGGGATGCGGAGAATTTCAAAGACAAGCGGAGTACCATTCCTGAAGTCATTAAGGCATTTATGTCCTCTAGAAGACTCATTATAGCTTTTCTGATGGGTCCTCCATGAGCACATGCACAGATAACTCTTTACTCTGCCTATGAGTGAAGTAGCTTTGCATGTACAGGTAATCTTACTTAATGACCACAATTGGAACTGACAACTCCATTGCTAAGTGAAATGGGCATTAAGTGAGAGATCCTGCAACCACAACTTGCAATTGTACTGCCAGTTACTCCATTGACCCTTTTTTTGGGAGCCAACTGTGAACTATGCAAATATCGATCATGGGATGCTGTGATGCTCATAAATGCCTGCCAGTTGCAAAGTGCCTAAATATTGGTCCTATAACTGTAAAGATGCTGCAGTGGTCATACGTTAAGGTGACCAGACTTTAACATTGGTATAGAGGGACACCATTGACGGGGTGGGGGGGTGTTGATTATTTTTTTTTAAAAAAAATCGGACTTTTTTAAAACGCTGCGGGACGGGGGACAAATTGTTAAAAATCAGGACTGTCCCGCTTAAAAGCAGGATATCTGGTCACCCAATGGAGAAGCCCAAATTCACTTAACAGCCATGTTCCTGACTTAACAACCACCATGATTCACTTAATATGGCAATAAAAGGTTGCAAAATTCATTTAACAAACGTCTCCCTTAGCAACAGAAATTGGGGGATCAATCCTGGTCGTAAGTCGAGGATTACCGATAGCCAATTGCAAAAGGCAACTTTGGCTAACTAAGTACACTAAAAACCATGTTTAATTATTTGCTACTTGAGGCCAATAGCAATGATGAAGAAATTTCTACTAGACTGTCATCCTCAGTGACAATATTTTTAGGGCCAAAAAATAAAACTCTGTATATTGGATCTGTTATCCATTTCTTAGCCCTCAATCAATCAATATAATTATTTCCATCAAAGAAAGCTTAAAAGTAGTGATTAAACAATAGCACTATAAAGAAAACATCATTTTTAATGATTTTCTATGAATGTGTGCATAGCATTTTAGCATACCATTATTAATAAGCTAAAAACACTTAAAACCTGAGGTAAGAATAACCTAAAATAAAGGATAAAATCATGGCATTGTTCTGATAAAAGGGTTTTTTATTTTCATTTTCATACACTCACATATATACTGTACATAACCAACACCATACAGCATTAAGCAATAATTGCATCAGTTCCTCTTGTCAACAATGCCCCAGAACATAGAAACCCACTCTACCTC